CTAAATCAGCCACAGTTTGTTGTGATCCACACAGTCAAAAGCCTTGGCATAGTCAATGAAACACAGACAGACATTCCTCTGGCACTCTGTGCTTTCAGCCAAGATCCATGTAACATTAGCTATAATGTCCTTAGTACCATGGCCTATTGTAAACCCAAACAGCACATCTGGCAGTTCTCTGTCATCTGGCAGCTCTCCAGTCATTTTTGGTTAATTTTCAGCATAATCTCACTTACATGTGATATTAATGATATTATTTGATAATTTCTGCACTCTCTCAGGTTACTTTTCTTTGGAATGAGAGTAAATATAGATCTCTGCCAGTCAGTTGGCCAGGTGGTTGTCCTCCAGATTTCTTGGCACAACTTAGTGAGTACATTCAGGGCAGTGCCTGTTTTGTTGCAATATGTCAGTTGGTATGTCAATTCCTGGGGCCTTGATTTTTTGCCAATTCTTTCAGAGCAGCTTGAACTTCTTCCTTCATCACCACAGGCTCTTGCTCATGTTGTTTCATGAAATTTTTCTGTGTCAGCCTTCCTTAACTATTGCAACTCGAGGCTTCAGTTCCTTCAGCTTAAGAAATGTTGAGTGAGTTCAGCCCTTTTGATTTTCTGACTCAAGCTGTTTGTACATTTCATTATAATACTTTGCTTTGTCTTCTCGCGCTGTCCTCTGGAATCTTCTGTTCAACTCCTTAATTTCTTCCCTTCATTTTGAACTTACATATGAGTAGTTGGTAACTTGTTCCACAATTAGCACCTGGCCTAGTTTTTACAGCTGATGATATTGAACATCTCCAGCAAGTCTTTTCACATATGTAATAGATTTGATTTCTATGCATACTATCAGGTAAAATCCGTGCATATAACCTACGTTTGTTTCTTATAAGTGATTTGCAATTAGTAATTCTTTGAATGTGCAGAATTCTATCATTCTTTCTCCAGCTTCATTTCTCTCACTAAGTCCATGTTTCCCAACTATTGATCCTTCTTCCCTGTTCCCAGCTTTTGCATTCCAGTCACCTATTATTATTAATGCATCTTGATTGTATATGCAATCAATTTATGACAACAAAATTTGGTAGAAATCTTCTATTTCCTCCTCTTTGGCTCTAGTTATCAGTGCATAGATTTGAATGATAGTGGTATTCACTGAACTTTAGGATTCACCTATTCTCATCTGTGCTAGATAGTCTATTGCTTCTTATCCATTAATTTTCTCATTGTTTTTTTCAGAATATATACTAATTTTTTACCTGTCTATAGGCTTTCTGATTCTTAAATATGACAACACACAGCCACTGTTGAGACTCTCGGGTTAATTTTTCATTTCAATTATTATATTTTTCAATTTCAGTATTTTGATTTTTTTAGATAATCTCTACATATTTATTGACTAATTAATTATAAATTCTATTATCTTCTTTGTCTAAATTTTCTAGCTTTGTTTTGTTTTTTAAAAACAAACAAAATCTTTTATTATCATATTTTCTTTTTTTTCCAAGCATTATTTTCATTTGTTCTTTGACTATATTGCCAATGAAATTGTTGTCAGGTAATAAAATATTTAGTGTTTTTCAAATGACATTTCTTTTGCTTACTCTTTTCCCTACACATATGGATATATATCTAAATATGAATTCTTGCAAGCATGTATAAATACACTGAAAAAAAAAACAGATAAAACTTTGGAGGCTGTTAACAATTAGAACTTAACAATTGTTCTATCTTGAGTAAGATACAAACATTCTGCTTCCATAAAGGTCAAAGCCATGGAAATTCTATGGGAGCCGTTTAACTATGCTATGTGCTTACTGAGTCAGAACAAACTAAATGGCAAAGGGATGTTCATGCATTTCCTTTAGCACAAACCCATAAAAAATTCTATTCAAAACAAAATATTCATGTTTTGATTTTTCTAAACTTTTTTTCTATGTAAACAAATAGATATGTCTTGGGAAAAGTACAGGTATATTGTTACTTGGAGGCAAAGATGGCAAAACTTGGTCTCGAGTATTTTGGGCATGCTTCTAGGACTGGCTATTCCTTGGAAAAGGAAATCATATTTGAAAAAATTGGAGGGTCTATATGATTGAGTATTATGGTTAGCACAGGAATCCAGAATTAAGGTTGCATAGAGAAGTGCACTCGGGGTGGCGGGTGGGGTGGGAAGGGATGGGGGAATTGTACACTAATGAAGGAATTTTTTTTCCTTTTTCTTTTTGAAGAGGGGAGCGAACTGGTGGGGAGAGGTGGGCAGGGAGAAAAGTGTGGCAATGAATGAATGGAAATCCATAACCTCTGTAAATGTCTATTAAAATTAATTTAAAAAAATACCAAAAAATGGAAGGTCAACTAAAAAGAAGAAGACTTTCATTGAGCTTAATGAGCATGTTAACCGCAACAATGGAATTGAGATGATAAGCATGAACCAGGACAATGCAGTACTCAGGTCTGTGGTCCTTAGGCTTGCTATCAGTCCTATTTTACACCATGGCACCTAACAACAATTTCTAAATATTTACATAATTATTCATCTTTTTATTTCACAAGGTACAGCAAGGTTCAAATCTGTTAAGTCATACTTCACTTGACAGTACCTAACAACAACATAACAATAACAATTGATATTTAGAAGGACCTCCAGGTACTTAGTTATAAGGAGTTTCACTATCAATCCAAAGATACAAAAATCTACCAGCTGCTCTTCAGGAGAAAAATAGACAATCTCCTTCTGTGTGATTATCATTTCAGAAAATCTGGAGTAACAATGAGCAAGTTCTGATTCTGCTGGCACATATAAAAAACAGTAACATTCATGTTTCATGAGCTCTGGTAGCTTAATGTTATAGAACCTGTCTCAAAGACAGGTCATGGAATCCATCAGCTGTTCTTTGGAAGAAAGATGGTCAATATTTACTCACTATGAAAAACTGCTGGAGGGTTAGCTATGAGTTGATTCCAGACTCATCAATAACAATAACAGCATTGATGTTTACTTTTCCCATTGAACATAAAGACTAACAGGCAAGTATTTTAAGAATATTAAATTGAGAAATATACAGTAACTGTTGACAGAGCCAAATAGTAAATATTGTACATACTAATGTGCTTAGATTTACCAGGTGCTCCATGGGAGGAAGACAGGCAATCAACTCCCTTCTGAAGTACTGCCTCTAAAAACCCACTGGAGGGTCAGCTATGGGTCAGTTCTAACACTACTGTACACAACAACAACAAAGGCATAATTTCTATACTGTGCATTCAGAAAGGCAGCTATATAATGCAACAATGATAATAAAAATGATAATGTCTATCGAAAAAAAAAAGAAAGGCAGCTATAAAATTATGGAACTTGTGTCATAGAACAGACATTTTAGGATAAAAATACAGATAATTTTGTAACTCTCCTTTGGAAGAAATTAATCACAATTTTAACTTTAAATAAGTTTATAAAGATTTTAAACACTGAGGTTTAATTACTACAAAGAACAACTCACAATTGTCCTGTCAGAGTCAACTTGTAGCTAATCCTCGCATGGTTTTTCAGAAGCTATATAATTTTCAGTTGAGGAAATTGTTTATCTCTCTTCCTAAGAACAGCTTGTGGATTCAAACCATGAGCCTCTGGATTGGTAATAGGTAAGTCCTTACCCACTAGGCCACCATAGATCATTGATATCCAATAGCATATAATATCATAAACTTGCACAAAATTAAAAGCCAATCAACATAAGTCATAAAAATCATCAGACACATAAAGACTATGGGATTCACTGCAAAGGAAGTCATTCTTTTTTTATTTCATTAAGATATGACATTTCAAGAAAAACACTAACAAAGCAAATCTCTATGTTATTACTCTGGAGATTTTGCTGTGTTATGAAGCATACCATATAACATATCAAATATCATTAACCTGTGTAATGCACATAATAGAACTTTGCTTACTGAAAGTGAGAAGAACTTGAAGCATTTGGTGAAGTAGATCAAAGAATAAAGCCTTCAATAAGGATTGCATCTCAATGTCAAGAAAACAAAAATGCTTACTACTAGTTCAATAGGCAACATTATGATAGATTGAAAAAAAGATGAAATTGTCAAGGATTTCATCTTACTTGGATCCACAATCAACACCCTTAGTACCAGCACTCAGAAATCAGGAGACATATTGTACTGGGAAAGATGGCAGTAAGGAACACTCCACAAATTATTGAGGAACAATGATGTTAGTTTGAGAACTAACGTGCATCTGAATCAGGCCATGGTTTTTCTAATCATTTGCTATGCATCTGAGAGCTGGACAATAAATAAGGATAACAGAAGAATAATTGGTGTCTTTGTGCTGTGACATTGGATATTACTGAGTATGGACTACCAAAAGAAAAAAACACATATGTCTTGGAGAAAGTTAAGACAGAGTGCTCCTTGGAGACAAAGATAATAAAGCTTTTTCTCACTTTAGGCATGTTGCTAAGAGAGGTTATTCCTTGGAAAGGGACATCATGTCTGGGAAGGAGGAGGGATGGCAAAAAAGAGGAAGATTCTCAATCACATAGATTGACACAATGACTGCCACAATGAGCTCCAGTGTATCAGGAAGTGTGAGAATGGCACAGGATAGAACAGAGTTCAGAGCTGTTGTTCACAGGGTCACTATGAGTCATACTCAGCTTCATGGCACCTAACAACAACTATAAAAATACCTTCCTACTGAACACCAACAAGCCTGGAAACAGGAGCAGCATCCACTTCCGAAATGGCTTGCTTCCGGAAACTCTATGTACAAACAGCGCTCAGGCCTTTCGTTCATAGGGTCGCTATGAGTTGTCTATGACTTGATGGCACCTAACAACAACTGAACACCAAAAAGTTCATAAAAGAAATATTTTTGAGATAAAGCAGCCTAAAGATTTATATATTGTGTATAAATGTTAAAAAATACTTTTTTTTGCTCAATAATTCTTTAGGGTTTCATTTTAATTATTTCAACAAATAGTCTTATTTGTCTGAAACAGAAAATATCTTTTTTAATACATTCCTGATTGCTTGTTTTACTTGCTGGTTCCTCAGCGTATAAATGAATGGGTTCAACATAGGGGCAACTGAAGTATTGAGCAGAGCTACTCCTTTGCTGATCATAATTCTTTCATTTGCTGATGGCTTAATGTACATAAATATACAGCTACCATAACTGATGGAGACAACAATTATGTGAGAAGCACAGGTGGAAAATGCTTTTTTCTTTTGTTGAGCTGAGGGAAAATTTAGAATTGTCTTGATTATGTGAGAGTAAGAAATTATAATTAATAACAAGGTGACAATTACTATCATCAGAGCTAAGAAAAAAGCAATCAATTCTAGTAAATGTGTGTCTGAACAAGAAAGCTGCAGGACAGGAGAGACATCACAAATAAAATGGTCAATATTTTCGGTACAGAAATCCAGGTTAAGAAACAAAATTATTGGAGGGAAAATGAGCAGGAATGCAGTTACCCAAGAGCTGAGTACAAGCTGGTGACAAACTCTGTTGCTCATGATGGATGTATAGTGCAAGGGTTTGCAGATTGCAATGTAGCGGTCATAGGACATAGCAGTCAGGAGGAAAAACTCTGCCACCCCTAAAAAGAGGTAAAAAAATAGCTGAGACATACAACCATTATAAGAAATGGTATTTTTGTTCATTATAAGGCTGATAAGAAATCTGGGCATGCAAACTGAAGTGAAGGAAATTTCCAAGAAAGAGAAATTGCGAAGGAAGAAATACATTGGGGTTTTGAGATGGGAATCCAGGAGAGTGATGGCAACGATAGTTAAATTCCCTGTCATGCTTAGAATGTAATTGAGAAGTAGAAATAAGAAAATGACAATCTGTAACTGAGATTTATCTGTTAGTCCCAGTAGAATAAATTCCCTCTGCTTTGTAAGGTTCTTCATTTCACTTTTATTATTTCAATCAAATTCTAAAAAAAAAAAAAAAAATCAGATGTTATGTTATTAACTTTGTCTTTAGCAAAGAAAAGATGTATAAACTGATCCTTATTAAGAAATATTTTAATATAATACAATACTCAATGGAAGTTGAAGACATAATTCAAAGTAGTGCACTAGAACCTATTAAGAAAATGTTTAAATATATTGTAATAATTCCATTTTGGAGATTGACTACCTAATCCATAACAGTTTCTGTTGTTGCTTGTCTTTTGTTCTTTTATAAACTTCCAGTTTATAAAAAGTACTTAATTTGAAATTTGGCTAGGTGGCATATAAGGTAAATTTTAAATCTAGTTTCAGATTAAATATAAAATTATTCATATTTAAGTAAATAATTTTATTGAAATGAAACATTGCCAGCTTTCTAATTAAGACTTACAATAAGGGAGCTCTGGGGGTTTAGTCCATAGTGAATTTTGCTACTAATCCAGCCCAAACCCACAGCTTACAATTAAATCGTGAAACTTCGATTTTACAATAATATAAAGTTGAAAATTCCATTTTTACTCCACTCCAATATCTGAGTGAACTTTTAAGGAAAAAAATGATCAAAAAGGAATATATTACAAAATAAGCAATATTTAATTTTGGAAAAGATTTTAAACTATTAAGCATATATTGCCACATTTAGTAAAAAGAAAATATATTCATGCCTTATGTGTTCTGCAACATGTAACCAAGACCACAAATTAAAAGGAAGAATGCAGAAAATGCATTGCATGTCTTCACAATCTCTGCCCTATTAGGAGAATACAGTCTATATCTGTGTTCCTGATGTAGCTAAGTAAGGGTAAAAAAAAAAAATTACTTTCCCCCCCTCACATTATCTATATTATTCATTCCTTCTCTTCACATAAATACCAACACGTAGTTGATTTCCTTCGTTGAGTTTCAGTAGCTGGAGGAGGAATGTGATTGCCCATCTTTCTGTTTTTACCTTTCTCCTAAGGTGCTTTTGCTGAATTTGAAGCATCATAATTGGCTACCATAGGAAATTGCCTTTATAAATTATCTTAGTAAGTAATTACTTGAAGTATAGGGTGATTAGTGTTGAATTAGTGATCATCTAATTGATTTCATCATCTCGATTCAGAAGAAATGTTTAAAAAAATCAGTAATATCATTTATGATATATATGCAAGTCTGTCTTAAACTTCTATGAAAATCAAAGCAATTTACTAGTATGTGAGCTTGGCTGACTTAACTGATTTCTAATTTTTGTTAACTTAGTTATGTACTTAATATAACTATTGAGGTAGTAATAATGATAACTCTAGTGTTTAAAAAGTATTAAAACAAAGATAAACCTCTATTTATCCTAGAAAATAATTAGAACAATAGTAAAGCCACAATTTTGAAATAGAAATAAAAGGGCATATTCTCTTCCCCATTATTTTAATAAATTTTGAAAAAGAGAATTTTTTTTAAATCCCAATTAAAGAACCAACTATAAACTAGAATATCATAAAGTATAAACAAAAATTACAAAGAAAAATCAAAAGAGCTGATACTTATGTGTTCCTGAGTGAATAAATTAAAAGCATCCATTCCCAAAATAACAGACCTCAGGAAAACCTTATGTGATATGACACACTTGGAGTAGGCTAGCAGACATAGCACCAGAGGCAGAGTCTTCTTACTGGGAATCATAAAGTGGACAAAGAGTTGCAAACAGACACTTGATTTGAACGTGGAATGTGAAAAGTATGAATATGGGAAAACAAATATTGACATACTAGGCATTGGCAAAATGAAATGTATTGGTTTGGGACATTTTAAATCAGGTAATCATATGATCTACTACACTGGAAATGAAAAGATAAGGGAAAATGGGGTCGATTTCATAGTTAAAAAGACCATTTCTAGATCTATCTTGAAATAGGATGTTGTGAATGACAGGATAAGATCCATACACATACAAGAAAGAACTGTAAAAGGCACTATCCTTTAAAAATATGCATCAACAATCAGGCCAAAGAGGAGGAAGACTTCTACCAATTTTTGTAGTAAAAAATTTAGGCACACTACATTGCACATTCTAAAAAGAAATAATTTTAATTTTGTTTAAATATTTTAATTACATGTGAAAGATTTCTTTAAAAAAAAAATCCCGAAGAGGGGGTGGGGAAATCATCTTAAACCCATTGTGGTACTAGGGATATTGTAGCTAATGTTAGATGGATCTTGGCTGAAAGCGGGGAGTACCAGAGGAGTGTCTATTTGTGTTTCATTGATTACCCAAAGGCTTTTGACTGTATAGATCACAACAAACTGATTAACTCTGAGAAGAATGGGAATCTCAGAACACTTGATCGTGCTAATGGGAAACCTATATTTGGACCAGGAGGCAGTCGCCAGAACAGAGTAAGGAAACACTGCATGGTTCAAAACTGGGAAGGTTATATGCCAGGTATGTGTCCTTTCCCCATACCCATTCAATATAAAGTTTATAAAAAAGAACAAAATCGAGTGTGCATCAATTGCCTTATTAAATTAGTCATTTTTTTATTGCAATCAGAATTCCACAAGGATTTTCACTCTATCTTTATTATCTTATAAACTTAAACATACATGTGAAAAAATAAATACATGAAAATATTTAAAAAAAAAGAATATATAATGGAGTTCTAATCTCTCAAAATCCTTGCCAGTATTTGTTGTTTATTGTCTTATTAAATGTTATTATTGTTTCTGAGATTTTGACATTATTTATTACAACACATTTTTTCTTTAGTAGGTAGCATTTTTATAATTTTCACATTTTTGCTATTGTTTGTTTTCCTCTTAAATTGTCTAATGAATTATTTCATGTTATTTTATTTCATGTTTTTTTAATTAAAGAAAATAACATTTTCTTTAATTAAAAAAATTAAAAGTAAGCTCTAATTATTTCATCAACCAAAATTAGTAGTTCGAAAATAGATATCTTACTTTATAAAATGTCCTAAAAATATGGTTATGTCTAGCTATTCTAGAAAACAATAATTCCTTCCACATTCTTTTAATTCAGAGTTCAATTTTAATTGATAAAGCGTTAGAAATAGGTTTAAGTGCAAAATTAAGACCCATAGAATTTGATCATATTTCATACAATACTCGAGAGAGTTACTGTGAATTAGAATTCACCTGCAGGCATGAGTTTTAAATGTAAAACAAGGAATAATTAAGGTTTTGTAAAAAGTGATACAATAATGTTTAATTTTAAATTTACCTTTTTAGTTATTTTTAACTTAAATGATATTTTCAATTATTATTATTTAGGAGTAATGTAAGAGTACTGTTTATAGACCTTTGGAAGCATGCACTTTTCCAAAATGAAATTTATCAGAGACTTATTGATATTACATGCCATTGAGTTGCTTGCAACTCATAGCAACCCTACAGGAGCCCTAAACACTGTTCTATCCTGTGCCAAACTCGCCATCTCTGACACACTCACTCTCACCACCCCAATCGTAGGATCTATCTCATCAAGGGTCTTCCTCTCCAGTGCCTTTCCTCCACTCTCCCAAACATGATATCCCTCTCCAAGGACTAGCTCCTCCTTGCAACATGCCCAAAGTAAGTCAGACTAAGCTTGAGAATCCTTGACTCCAAGGACACTCCGGCTTCACCCTCTCCAGGACAAACCAGTTTGTTCTCCTAGCAATCCATGGTATACTCAACACTTCTCCAGCACAACAGCTCAAAGGCATAATTCTCTTCCTATCATTTCTAGTCACTGTCCAACTCTCTAATGCATAGCACATAATTCTGAAGACTATAGCCCAAATCAGGCTCATCTTAGTCTCCAGCTTGATGTTGTTGCTCTTCAGTACTCTTCAGAGGTCCCTGATAGCTGACTTTCCCAAAGCAATTAATCTCTTGATTTCCTGGCTGCTGGTACCAAGAGTGTTGACTGTTGAGCCAAGAAAACGAAAACTGTTAACTATCTCAGTCTCTTCACCATTCATACTGATGCTGCCAATTGGCCCAGTGGTGAGAATCTTTGTTTTCTTGATGTTAAGCTTCAATCCATATAGGAGGCTGCAGTCCTTGACCTTCTGCAGCAAGTGCTTCAGGTCCTCCTCAGTTTCAGCAAGCAGGGTTATGTCATACACCTAACACAGGTTGCTGATGATTCTTCCACCAATCCTGATGCCACATTCCTCCTTTACAGCCCAGCATCCCGGATGTTCTGTTCTGCATAAAGATTGAAAAGGTATAGAAACAAAATACATCTCTGACAGACCCCTTCTTGATTTTGAACCATGTAATGTCTCCTTGCTCTGTTCTGATGACTGCCTCTTGGTCCAAGGATAGGTTTTGCATTAGGACAATCAAACGTTCTGGGATTCCCATTCTTCTCAGAGTCAGCTATAGCTTGTTGCGTTCTAAATGGTGAAAAGCCTTTGCATAGTCAATGAATCACAGATAGACATTCCTTTGGTATTCTCTGATTTCTGCCAAGATCCATCTAACAGTAGCTATAATATGCCTAGCCGCGACCTATTCTGAATCCAGCCTACACATCAGGCAGTTCTCTGTTGACATATTGCTCCAATCGTTTTTGGATAATTTTCAGCAGAATATTGCTTGTATGTGATATTAATGATATTGTTCGATAAATTCTGCACTTTCTTGGGTCACCCTTTTTTGGAATGGGAACAAATAGCTATCTTTTCCAGTCAGTGGGCCAGCTGGCTGTCCTCCAGATTTCTTGGCACAGCTTAGTGAGCACATTCAGGGCAGTGTCTGTGGAAATATTTCAATTGGTGTGCTGTCAACCTGTGGAACCTTATTTTTTGCTAATTCCTTCAGAACAACTTGAACTTCCTCCTTCATCACCACAGGCTCTTGCTCATATATTATTTCATTAAATTCTTCTGTGTCAGCCAATTCCTTCTGATACAGTGATTCTGTGTATTTCTCCCATCTTCTAATAATGCTTCTTGGATCATTTA